TCCTGGAATTCTAGAAAATTCCTGTAAAAAATTGAAACTCTCGTGAAATTTTAAATAATTCTTATGAAATTATTTGGAAGTTCAGTGAAATTCCGGTAAAATTATGTAGAATTTCGAAAAAATTCCAATTAAATTCCATCCATTTTCCAAGTTATTCCCGTAAAATTCCAAAAAATTACATTAAATTGTCATGCAACTTTAAACAATTCTCGTGAAATTATTTAGAATTACGTGGGATTCTGGTAAAATTAGGTGATACTGCGTAAGAATTACGACGAAATTTTCCGAGTATTCGATTCAATGCCTCCAGAATTTTAAGTTATTCTCGTGAAATTCCAGAAAATTCCCATGAAATTCCAAAATATTGTAATGATAATATTATTCTGTCATGGCTTGATGGTTTTAAAATTCCATTTGACGGGAAGGTCAGCATAATTGGTCCTCTTTTACGTAAAATTACGTGGAATTTTCGTTAAATTTCAATTAAAAATCGTGTAGAAATACATGGAATCCTTTTGAAGTTCCAGAAAAAAAGTTACTTTCTATGGTATCACTTGAAATTCTCGTAAAATTGAAAGAAAAAATCCCAAAAATTTCCATAAATTACATAAAATTCTTGTGAAATTACTTAATTTTTTTATTGAATTCCCAAGAATTCTCGTGAAGTTACATGGAATTCCCGTGGAATAACTCAAAATTTAAGTGAAATTCTGAAATAATATGAAATTCTCGTAAAATTCCGTAAAGTTCTTGTGAAATTACTTAATACTTTAGCAAAATTCCTGTGGAGTAAATCGGAGTTTTAGTGGAATTAAAAAAAAAAAAAATATGAAATTCCAGAAATTTCTTCAAAGTTGCTTGAATTCCCGTGAAATTGAAAAAAAAAATTCAATCAAAAATTTAATTTATTGAGTTTTGACCAACGATGTTGAAACGAGTTTTCGTTATTTTATCAAAAATGCTTTTGTGGCTTTTGAACTTGTTAAACCTCGTTTATTATAGAATTTATATAGAAATTATACGGAATTCCATAAAAATTATGCAGAATTCCCTAAAATTTACACGGAATTCCATTGAAATTACATAGAATTTTGAATAGGTATGTTAAATTTCATCAAAATTATGCGGAATTCAAATGAAATTAAAGAAGTAATGACGTGGAATTCCAAAGAAAAAATAGTTAATTTTAGAAAAATTACATGGAATTCTATAGGAATGTTGAAAAATTCTATAGAAATTATATGCGAAAATTTATAGAAATTATGCGAAATTTCAGTAAAATTAGATGAAATTCCGTAAAAAATATGCAAAATTTTATTGAAATTATGCTGAATTCCATGGAAAAAAAAACGTTTAATTGAAAAAAAAAATACATAGATTTCCATGGAAATTATGCCAAATTGTATAAAAATTATGCAAAAATTCAATGAAATTAAATGGAATTCTGGGAAGATGGCGTGAAATTCCAAAAAAATCGTTGAGTTTCAATTAAATTACCTACATAAAAACCCATAGAAATTATGTGGAATTCCATATAAAAAAAAGTTATGCAAAATTCCATAAGAATTATGCGAAAGCCCGTAGAAACCATAAGGAATTCCATTGAAATTATGCTGAATACTATATGGAAATGATTTGAATGAAATTTCATATAAAGTATGCAGAATTTTATTGAAAATATGCCAAATACCATTAAAATTATGCGAACTTCTAGTGAAATTAAATGGAAAACGGCATAGGAGTCCAAAAAATGCGTTGAGTTTCAAAAAAATCAAAATCCCATAAAAAATATGTGGATTTAAGCTGTATGGAATTCCATAAAAATTATGCGAAATTTCATAGAAACTATGCAAAAGTCCAAAGAGTTTCTGTGGAATTCTATAGAAAATATGCAATATTGTATAAAAACTATGCAAACTTCTACTGAAATTATGCGGAATTTTATAAAATATGTGTGCAATTAAATAAAACTCCAGTAAAAGTTAATAAAATCCCGAGGATACGACGTAAAACTCCAAACAAAAATATGTGGAATTCTGGTAAATTTATGAAATTCCGATGAAGTTCCATTAATTTTCCTGGAGTTCCAAGTAAGTTCTCCAAAATTTTAAATTATTCTAGTGAAATTTGAAAGAAAAATATGATATTATTTTCCAAGCAATTCCTGTGAAATTTCTTGCAATTACAGAAAATTTCCTTGAAATTACATGGATTTTTAGTGAAGTTCCAGAGAATTTTTGGAACGATGCAAATATCAAAAATTTTGTGAAATTATTTGGGATTTCAGAGGAATTACGTGGAATTCCGATGAAATTCTATTAATTTTCCTGGAATTCTAGAAAATTCCTGTAAAAAATTGAATCTCTCGTGAAATTTTAAATAATTCTTATGAAATTATTTGGAAGTTCAGTGAAATTCCGGTAAAATTATGTGGAATTTCGAAAAAATTTCAATTAAATTCCATCTATTTTCCGGAAATTCCACGTAATTCTTCTGGAATTCCAAGTTATTCTCGTTAAATTCCCGTAAAAATTACATTAAATTTTCATGCGTTTAAAAAATTCTTGTGAAATTATTTAGAATTATAGTGAAATTACGTGGGATTCCGGTGAAATTATGTAATACTGCGTAAGAATTACGACGAAATTTTCCGAGTATTCGACTCAATGCCTCCGGAATTTTAAGTTATTCTCGTGAAATTCCAGAAAATTCCCATGAAATACCAAAATATTTACGTGAAATTACGTGGATTTTTCGCTAAATTTCAAATAAAAATCCTGGTAGAATTACACGGAATCCTTGTAAAATTCCCAAAAAGTTAGGTACTTGTAATTTCAGTGGAATTTGGAAGAATTTCTATGGTAGGTATCACTTGGAATTCTCGTAGAATTGAAAGAAAAAATCGCTAAAATTTCCGTGCATTACATAAAATTCTTGTGAAATTACTTAAATTTTTTATTGAATTCCCAAGAATTCTCGTGAAATAACATCGAATAAGTCAAAATTTAAGTGAAATTCTGAAATAACATGAAATTCTCGTGAAATTCCGAAAAGTTCTTGTGAAATTACTTAATACTTAAGCAATATTCCTGTGGAGTAAATCCAAATTTTAACTTAATTCAAGGAGTTTGAATGAGCTTTGGAATTATTGAGACATTTTTTTGTGGCTTTTGAACTTGTTAAACCTCGTTGGAGTTTTCTTAAAAAATGAATCAAACGTCATGAAATCTCAATCCAACGAGTTTCAACAACGTTTGAAACCCATAATAAATTACTGTATTATTGTACTGTATTATTTCTGTTTCTTCATTCTTAAATTTCCAAATTCTCAAGTTCTGATCTTCAAGCGTCTCAGAAAACTTTCATTTTCAATTTCCAACGTCTATGGAACGTTTTTGAAGTTCCAAAAAGTCCTGCAAAATGCTGAAAATCTTCCCACAGAATCTTTATTTTTTAGAATTAGGTACTCTAAGTTTCAGTTTTTTCCCGAATTTGATCCTGCCTGTAAAACATTTCTAATGGTCCTATAAAATCCCACAAATGCTCAGAATGTTTGATTTTTCGAATTAGGGGATTGGGGCACCAAATCTTAGGGTTTTGTTTTCGAGATAATCGGTTTTCCAAAATTTTAAATTTGAGGCTCAATATCTCGGAAACTATTTGAGGTAAATGATTCAACTTTAGTCTTAAAGAGCATTCAATTCTGATTAAGAATGTCTAAATATGCATAAGAATTTAAGAAATTTTTAGTGAGTTATGAGCGATTTTGTGAAGCAACGTCAAAATTTTAGAGGACAAAAAATGCAAAAATCATTTTTAATTTTTTACAGGGTCTAAAACCTCGAAAAGAAAAGTCACGAAGATGCTTTTCCACTAAATTTGACTCCCTCTTCTGATTGGTGAAGCTAAAAATACAAAAATTTGGAAAAATTAAAATTGAAATTTTTCTAAGGGGTTTTGCAAGGAAATTTAAGTTTTGGAATATTTCAAAGGGCCATATTCAGAAAACCAAAAAAGCCATCGGCTTGAAATTTCGTCCAATTGTAGATATTGATTAGAGCTTCAAAAAAGGTTTGTTGGGGCATCGAGCCCTAGGCTTCGTTTTCGAGATAATCGGCTTTGAAGGTTTTCCAAAATTTGAGACAAAGTTTTAACTTTGAAGCTCAATATCTCAAAAACTATTTGAGATACAGGATTTAATTTTGTTTTATCTTAAAGACCATTTGATTCTGATTAAGAATATATCAATATTCATTAGAATTTATAGAATATTGATCGAGTTATGGGCGGATAATCCAATTTTTTTAGGGCCCAAAATGCAAAAATCGTTTTTAATTTTTTACAGGCCTTAAAACCTCGAAAAGAAAAATCACAAAAACACTTTTCCACTAAATTTGATCTCCTTTTTCGATTGGTAAAGTCAAAAATTGAAAAATTTAAAAAAATCAAAATTGACATTTTTCTAAGGGGTTTGCAAGGAAATTTAAGTTTCGAAGAGGCCTATTTCGGAATCCAGAGAAGATATTGGCACGAAATTTTGTCCATACATAAATCTCGATTGGGGCTTCAAAAAAGCTATTCTGGGGCATCGAGCCCTAGGGCTTCATTTTCGAGATAATCAGCTTCAAAGGTTTTCCAAAATTTTTAACAAAGTTTCAACTTTGAGGCTCGATATCTTAAAAACTATTTGAGATAAATCATTCAATTTTGTTTTATCTGAAAGAGAATTTAATTCTGATTACGAATATGTAGATATACATGTTAGAATTTGTAAAATATTAATTGAGTTATATGGACGATTTTGTGAATGTGAATCATTCGAAAACCAAAAAGTCCTGATCAAACGAGCTCGAATCATTATAAAATCCTTGTCAAAACATCATTAAACCCCAATAAATCCATTCACAAATTGACTTCTAGAAGATCGAAGCTCGTTTCCAAAACGAATATATCACGGTATGTTTTACAACTATCGATAGATCTTCGTCTTCATTTTGGGCGGGAGAAAAGATAAAAGCTTCAAGAAGCTAAAAAACTCACTTTGTTTTAGGGGGGATATTATTGCAAAAGCTCCATAATAATTTTATCCACCATTGAGTTTATACTTAGGAGTGTTTGATATACATATTTATAGTGGAGTGAATAATTATTGAATTGTTTAGTGATAAAAATGAAGGCAATTATTATTAATCAGGTGAGAATTAATTAATTAATTATCATATTTGGATAAACCAGATTTTGTTCCGTTAGACTTTTTTTTAAATAAAAATTCTAATTATTTTAAACGAAAGAATATTTAAATTATTTGACATTGGCACATAATTTTGATGGTTACTTTGAAGATTTTTTTCACATGTTTAATTAAATGTCATCAGGCTTATGATCGGTATCATTGCATCAATAATTACATATTGAGGTTCTAATGATTGCCAATAAATAAAAACTTTATTATGTTATTACATGCGTATGATTTTGAATAAATTTGCATATTAGTAAAAGATGTATTTACTTTATTACATTTTGTTTAATGGATGTAAAAAAATAATTAATTATCTTAATTTAAGAAGAATTAAGCCTGTATTACATCTAATGTATTTTTCCGTGTATTTCTTTATGTAGTTCAGGGTGACAAGCGAAAAACTTCAAACGCAACATAAATCAGCATTATGAAAAACAAAATAATTTTGGCTCTACATGAAGAAATACATGGAAAAATACACAAATGTATAACGGGCCTAAATCATCAAAATTCTCAAATAAATCCTGACATTTTAAGCAAAATAAATAATTCATGAATACAAAACAACAAAAAGTTTCGCACCGATTTAAAACGTTTTTAACTCTATTTTTAACCGAATTATGTAACAGACATAAGTCTGAGTTAGCACCTGCTAAGTGGCCAAAAAAGAAGGAAAAATAAAAATGTAAAAGGATGTCCCCAAAAACAAAAATACAGGTGCTAATATCAATGGGTTCATTATTAGATAAATAAAACCTGCTTTATTTGGAAACCTTGAATTTATGGAAATATTTTTGGTTTTTTAATTTTGTCTACAATAATAATGATAAATTGAATTATCTACATATTTGAAAATATTACATTATGAGTGTAGAAAGTGACAAATTTCACACGAATGTATGAAAGACACTTTCTCACAAATGATGTACACCATTTTTCATACGACACCAATTTTCTCTTATTTTATTTCTCTTCATTTTCAACACACGTGCTGAAAGTTCTTACAATGCACGTAAATTGTTATGTCAATCACAAATATTGTCAACAGTATTTTTCACACGTGTGCTGAAAGTACTTTTAGCACACGTATTGAAAGTACTTTCAGCACGCGTATGATATTTAGCGTTTTCCAAAGAACCAGCTAGTGCGAATTTTGTCATTTTCGTATGTGGTCGTAGGAAAAATAATTAATTTACAATAATTAGAAAAAAAATTAAATGTTAGATGGTGCATTTATGCCTAATTTAATTGATTACCATTAATTTCCAATAGGGTTATTATACATTTAAAAATTTTGAAATTTTACTATGATACGCCCCTGATTTTCCTCTTTTTTCCAGAAAATTTCATAATTTTCTCCTGAACAGTTTTCCAGAAAAAAAAAAAAAAATGTTAGATGGTGCATTTATGCCTAATTTAGTTGATTTCCATTAATTTCCAATAGGGTTATTTTCCATTTGAAAAATTTGAAATTTTACTATGATACGCCCCTGACTTTCCTCTTTTTTTCCAGAAAATTTCATAATTTTCTCCTGAACAGTTTTCCAGAATGGTGCATTTATGTCTAATTTAGTTGATTTCCATTAATTTCCAATAAGGTTATTTTCCATTTGAAAAATTTGAAATTTAACTATGATACGCCCTTGACTTTCTTCTCTTTTTCCAAAAAATTCCATAATTTTCCCTTCAATAGTTTTCCAGAAAAAAAATAAAATGTTAGATGGTGCATTTATGCCAAATTTAATTGATTTCCATTAATTTCCAATAGGGTAATTTTCCATTTGAAAATTTTTAAATTTTACTTTGATACGCCCCTGATTTCCTCTTTTTTTCCAGAAAATGTCATAATTTTCTCCTGAACAGTTTTCCAGAAAAAAAAGTAAAATGTTAGATGGTGCATTTATGCCTTATTTAGTTGATTTCCATTAATTTCCAATAAAGTTATTTTTCATTTAAAAAATTTGAAATTTTACTATGATACGCCCCTGACTTTCTTCTTTTTTTCCAGAAAATGTCATAATTTTCCCTTGAATAGTTTTCCAGAAAAAAAAATAAAATGTTAGATGGTCCATTTATGCCTAATTTAGTCGATTTTCATTAATTTCCAATAAGTTCATTCTCCATTTGAAAAATTTGACATTTTACTATGATACACCCCTGACTTTTCTCTTTTTTTCCAGAAAATGTCATAATTTTCTCCTGAACAGTTTTCCAGAAAAAAAAGGAAAATGTTAGATGGTGCATTTATGCCTAATTTAGTTGATTTCCATTAAATAGGGTTATTTTTCATTTGAAAAATTTGAAATTTTATTATGATACGTCTCTAACTGTCCTCTTTTTCCCCAGAAAATGTCATAATTTTCCCCTGAATAGTTTTCCAGAAGAAAAATAAAATGTTGGATGATGCATTTATGCTTAATCTAGTTGGTTTTCATTAAATTCCAATGCGGTTATTTTCCAATGAAAAGCTTTGAAACTTTACTATGATACGCCCCTGATTTTCTTCTTTTTTTTCCATAAAATGCCATAATTTTCCCTTGAATAGTTTTCCAGAAAAAAAATCAAATGTAAGATGGTGCATTTATGCCTAATTTAGTTGATTTCCATTAATTTCCAATAGGGTTATTTTCCATTTGAAAAATTTTAAACTTTACTTTGATACGCCCCTGATTTCCTCTTTTTTTCCAGAAAATGTCATAATTTTATCCTGAACAGTTTTCCAGAAAAAAAAGTAAAATGTTAGATGGTGCATTTATGCCTAATTTAGTTGATTTCCATTAATTTCCAATAGGGTTATTTTTCATTTGAAAAATTTGAAATTTTACTATGATACGCCCCTGACTTTCTTCTTTTTTTCCAGTAAATGTCATAATTTTCCCTTGAATAGTTTTCCAGAGAAAAAAATAAAGTGTTAGATGGTGCATTTATGCCTAATTTAGTTGATTTTCATTAATTTCCAATAGGGTTATTTTCAATTTAAAAAATTTTAAATTTTACTTTGATACGCCCCTGATTTCCTCTTTTTTTCTAGAAAATGTCATAATTTTCTCCTGAACAGTTTTCCAGAAAAAAAAGTAAAATGGTAGATGGTGCATTTATGCCTAATTTAGTTCATTTCCATTAATTTCCAATAGGGTAATTTTTCATTTGAAAAATTTGAAATTTTACTATAATACGCCCCTGGCTTTCTTCTTTTTTTCCAGAAAATGTCATAATTTTCTCTTGAATAGTTTTCCAGAAAAATAATTAAAATGTTAGATGGTGCATTTATGCCTAATTTAGTTGATTTTCATTAATTTCCAATAGGTTTATTTTTCATTTGATAAATTTGAAATTTTAGTATGATACGCCCCTGACTTTTCTTGTTTTTTGTTTAATCAAAAGTCTGAAATAATAAAGTAAGATAGAGACAATAATATGGGGGAAATTCAATGAGTAAGAGATGGATGCAGAGATAAAATTGGATAAAAATATAATGAAACGACTTTTAATTTTTCCTGACACTTAAGTAGCTGTCAAACGTCAAAGTATCAAATTCAAATTATAGTTGCCGGAAATTTCTCAACTGAAGAGTGATGATGTTTTTTTCAAAAAAAAAAAAAAAAATACAGAAACTGTCAAACTTTCCAATCATTTGACAGACGTCAATTGTTTTACAAGCCTATCAAACGTCAAATCATGAAATTATAAACTTGGACAGTTGTCGAAAGTTTACTCAATTTCAAAATCCATCAGAATCAAGCTCAATTTAAATACATAATACGTATAGAGACAACGATATGGGAAATTTAATGAGTAGGAAATAGATGCATATAAAATACAATGAAAACATAATGATACTACTTTTGGATTTTCTTGACGTTTAAGTAGTTGTTAAACGTCAAAGTAAGAATACGAAATATATACGAAATTCGATGAATGGAGAAAGAAGGAAATAAACTAGGATACAAAATATAAATTATTCTTGGCGCTTGAATCACCCTATATTTTTTGTGCTGGGCCAATCCTAGGTCTAAAATATCGAAGTAAGAGAAAGAGATAATAATATACGAAATTCAGTGAGTGGAAAAAAGGCGAAAATAAAATAGGATATAAAATTTTAACTATTCCTGGCCCTTGAATGCTATATTTTTTGAGCCTGGCCAATCGAAAGCTTGGAATAACAGAGTAACAGAGAAAGATATACAAAATTTAATGAATAGAGAAAGGAGGAAATAGTTAAGATAAAAAATTCAAATTATTCTTAGCGTTTGAATCACCATAAATTTTTTATTGTGCCTGGCCAATTGAAAGCCTGGAATATCAAAGAAAGAGAGAAAGATACAAAAAATTCAATGAATGGAAAAAGAAGGAAATAAAATAGGAAACAAAATTTAAATTATTCTTGGCGCCTCAATCACCGTTTAATTTTTGTGCTGGACCAATCGATAGCCTGGAATTCAAGAAAGAAAGGATAGGAAATTCAATGAGTGGAGAAAGAAAAAAAATAAAGTAGAATATAAAATTTTTATTATTTTTGTCGTTTGAATCCCCCTTTATTTTTTGTGTCCCGCCAATGGAATAACAAAGTAAGAGAGAAAGATATACGAAATGCAATGAATGGAGAAAGAAGGAAATAAAGTAGAAAACAAAATTTTAATAATTCTTGGCACTTAAATCACCCTATACCTATTTTTTGTGCCTGACCAATCGAAAGCCTGGAATATCAGGGTGAAAGAGAAAGATAAGTATACGAAATTCAATGAATGAAGAAAAGAAGGAAATAAGGTAGAAAACAAAAATTAAATTATTCTTGGCGCTTGAATCACCATATATTTTTTATTGCGCAGGACCAATCCAAAGCTTGGAATAAGAGTAAGAGAGAAAGATATACGAAATTCAATAAATGGAGAAAGAAGGAAAGCAAGTAGGATACAAAATTGGAATTATACTTGGCGCTTCAATCACCGTATATA